CCCCCAACTTCGGCTCCCAAGTTGGCTCGGACCCTCTCCGATGTTGCCACTGGACCTGCACTAGGGGCACCTCCTTGTTCCTCAGAACCTTGATCTTCCGATCCAAAATCGCAACTGGCCTCTCAACATAATGCAGGCTGGCATCCACCTGAATCCTCCAACGGTACCACTGCCGACTCGTCGGCTATACACTTTCTCAACTGAGACACGTGGAAGGTATCATGGATCTGGCTCAACTCCGCAGGTAGCTCTAGATGATATGCTACCCTGCTTACCTCGCAGTCACCCTGAACGGACCGATGTACCGGGGCCCCAGCTTTCCCTTCTTCCTGAATCGGATCACTCCTTTCCAAGGAGATACCTTCAGGAGTATGAAATCCCCCACTTGAAACTCAAGCTCGGATCGTCGGCTATCCACATAACTCTTCTGGCGACTCTGATCTGTCAACAACCTCTGTCTGCCCTGTTGTATCTGCTAAGTCGTCTGAAGCACTAACTCAGTGTTGCCCATCACTCGCTGCCCGACCTCACCCCACCATATGGGAGTCCGACACCTCCTCCCGTACAACAACTCAAAGGGAGGCATTCTGATACACGAATGGTAGTTGTTGTTATAAGAAAACTCAGCCATCGGCAAATACGTGTCCCAACTTCCTCCGAAGTCCAACACACATGCTCGCAGCATGTCTTCGAGCGTCTGAATCGTCCGCTCACCCTGACCGTCCGTCTGTGGGTGGTATGCGGAACTAAAATGCAGCCTCGTACCCAATTCCTCATCGAATTTTTGGAAGTGAAATGCACATCTCGATGTGACACGATCGAGATCGGTACCCCATGCCGCGATACTACCTTTCTCACATATAACTCCGCCAGCCTCTCATAAGAAGAGCTCTCACTGATAGCAAGAAAGTGAGCGCTCTTCGTCAGCCAGTCAACAATCACCCAAATTGCATCGACACCCCTCGCAGTCCTCCGCAATTTGGTGATAAAATCCATGGAAATCTGTTCCCACTTCCACTCAGGAACCTCAAGTGGCTGCAACTTGCCATGCGGACGCTGGTGCTCGACCTTCACCCTGCGACAGGTCAAGAACCTCTCTTTGAACCACGTGACATCCCTCTTCATACAGGGCCACCAATACTTCTTCTTCAGGTCCAAATACATCTTAGTGGCCTCGGTATGGATCGAGAACCTCGATCTATGCGCCTCCTCCATCAGAATGGTACGTGCCCCGCCTTCAAACGACACCCAAATCCGAACTTGAAAGGTCATAAGCCCATGGCTATTGACAACGAACTCAAATATCTGCCCGATCACCTGCTCTCTTTTGCGGTTCTCCGGTCTCATTGACTCTACATGGGCCTTCCGAATGGTGTCCAACACCGGAGTCATCACTGTCAGTCACAAACAAACATCTCGTATCGGGGCACTCTCCGCCCAACGACTCAGGGCATCGGCTAACACATTAGCCTTGCCCGGGTGGTACAGGATCTCACACTCATAATCCTTTACCACATCCAACCATCTCCTCTGGCGCATATTCAGGTTGGTCTGATCCATCAGATACTTCAAGCTCTTGTGATCCGTGTATATGGTACACTAGACCCCATACAAATAGTTTAGGTCTGACAATCATGTTGTGTTCGGGTTGACGTGTCACGAGTTGGCGGGTTGACGGGTCAAAATATGCCAACCCAAACATGACCCATTTAAATATACAAGTCATGGGTTTGCGGGTTTGGAACATAAACTCATATATAACTCGTCAACCTATTTATTTATATGGGTTCACAGGTTGGCGGGTTCGTGAGTCAGATTTGGGTTCGTGGGTAAGATTCCATAAATAAAATTGACAATTAAACATGAATAAATTCTTGATGGTTGATGCAAACATATCCGAATTTTAGACACTTAACTACTTGAGTCTTAAACATCCAAATGAAAATTAAGAATATTCATAGAAACATGTTCAAGCTAAACATTAATACATGCATATATAGTACTTATTATATAACACTTATTAAATATTGATACCTGATACATAAATACATTTAAAAATAATATATATATATATATATATATATATTAAAAATATAAACGGGTTGGCGGGTCAACCCGTTTATTTTTTGAAAAACTCATATATGACCCGTTTAATAAACGGGTTGACGGGTTGGCGGGTTGAAAAACACAATTCAAACCCATTTATTTTGTATCATGTTGCGAGTCCTGTTGCGAGTCGTATCGAGAATTGTAAGCCCTACAGTTTTTTCACATTAGACCTTTAGGAAATGAAATGTTACCTATTTCCATGTAAATAATTAGATGTATATTATATTTTATATCGGATAATAAAGCTAATTAATTTCTTATAATTAGTTTGTAAATCATTAAACATCAAAATTGTAATTTGTAATTATCACTTAAAAAAATTTATAATGACCAGAAGAATATGAGTCGGCGGATGTACATACATTTTTACATACACATTCAACAGTTTCATATATACATTCAAAAGTACATCAATTTTACATATACATTCAACAATACATACAATACACATTCAGAAGTGAAGAAGAAAACTAACATGTGTTCACCGAAAAAACATAGCTATAGTCGGTGGTGATGTGGTGTCCTTACCGAAGACAATATTTACCTTAAAAATATAAAAAACTAACAATTAACGGGTAAAATGTTGGTTAGAAAAGAAGAGAAAGAGACACAGGAAGAAAAAACGAATGTGGCCGGCGGTAGCAGGTCGTAACCAGGGGTGACTGTCTGCGCAAGCGGAGGTGGCAATAGGCGAGGGAGGTTAAACGGCGGTGGTTCGACAATCTTAGTAGGGGTGGAGAGCAGTGGCATCGGCAGTAGTTGTGGTGATGTCACAAATCGTCGCATTTGAGAAACGAAAGAGTTTTAGCGGTAGGTATATGTGACATCCCCAAAATCTCAGCCAGAAAAGACCGATTTTCATTTATGCTTTTAAAATAATTTCAGAGTAAATCCTTTTGATTTGAAAGAGTTGCGGAATTTGTTCCCAAAAACAAAACGTGATAAAACAATGTTTACCAAAGCATTTCATAAAAGAAATGTATTTTCATTATATTATCAAAACTCTGGATGTCATGTCCGATACAGATCATAAAGCATAAACGATAACATTACAAGTCATTCAACAAATATATACATATACAGACTTGTAAACAAAACAACTTGATGGTTCATCCATCTCATGCCCTTGCGCCACTTCCTGTAATACAAATAAAACTGAGTGGGTCAGGCTTGGGAGCCTGGTGAGCATATAGGGTTTTCAACCCACAATAAATAATTATATTTAATTCCACCAATCAACAATAACCCAATTACCCATTCCCTTTATTCTCACTTTACGTCCCTAAAACAACTAACACAAGGGACCTAATCTTAGAATATTTTATCGGGGCGACACCACATGCATTCGGGGGTTTCCCGGCAATATATGTCAAATAAGGCAACCACGAGGGGGATGGAGTACAGGGAATGAACACCCAAGTTCATTAACACCTACAGGTGGCGAACCTGCTAGCGTTCCACAAGACTGTCTAGAAAAGTCTGTGGTCGTCATCTAAACTCCGCTAGATGACTGAATCAAAACAACAACGAGGCCTCTCATCTGTTTATTACACACCAACTATCTACCCATGTTCTACCCGCCATATTAGTAGATAAAAATATATATTTTTATGCATAGTTTAAAACCTGTATAGCATTCTCATTCAATACATATTCCAAAACAACAGATGAGACACATACATATAACACGTATTTCATAGAGAATAAATCGTATCTATGAGATAGAAGAAATTGAATATACATTCACGCATATAACAACAAAATATACACATAACACGTATTTTATATTAAATACTTAATAATTATGCGTTAGAAGAAAGTAACCACACACTCACTTGATCAGAAGATGATCGGACAACACTACGGCTTATAGAAGTAGTATTCTTCGGCAGATCTGGAAGATCTTCACAAGAATCTAACTTCTCGCAGGCAGAGCTTCGGCTTGGGAATCGCACTTCTCAGGATCTTCGGGATCTCGGGACTTGCTTCGGGGCTCGAGAATATTACCGGGGCTTCGGGGTACTTCTGGTACGCAAATCGATGCAAAACAGGAGAGAGAAAAGAGAAAAATAGCAAAAGAACCGGCTGCCCTCGCATCCTATTTATAGGAGGCTGGAGCCTCGGAGTATACGGGGCGTACTGCCTCCGAAATCGTCATTGCTTACGTATCCGAAGTACTCGAGTGCGAATGTCGACATACCTCGGTGTACGCGGGGCGTACTTCGGATGAGTCCGATGACTCGTCTTCGGATAATACCGAGATTTAATAATTAAATTTAATTATTAATTATTTAATAAACTTCGAAAATTCATATCTTCTTCATACGAACTCCGTTTTCGACGTTCTTTATATCCACGCGAATGTGAGACTACGCTCTACAACTTTCGTTTAGACTCCGTCGGCAAATTTTGACTTTATTTTTATTATTTATTTTTAATAGGCCGGTACATAAAATTTCGTTATAAATTCATAACTTCTTCGTTTGACGTCTGTTCTCGCCTAACTTTTTATCGCTTCGATACCAACAACGAGATCTTCGATTCTCGTTTAGATTGCTTTGGCTAAAAACCGCTCTAACGTAAATTTCACTTTTCACATCATTCAACGTTTGTTGGTTCTGTCGCGAAACTTCGACAGGTAATAATTTCTTCGTTATAACTCGGATTTCGACATTCTTTATATCTTCGGAAATCCTTGTTTTGACCACTACATCTTTATGCAAAGATATTGAGATTATCCCACACTTCAAATTTGACGCTTATTTTATTCTTAATTAATCAAATATCACACAATTAAACAATTAAGCACAAAACACATAATACTCAAATAATACGTTCTTATTATTTCAAACACATAATACTCAAATAATACGTTCTTATTATTTCAAATTGGGGTTACAAAGGTTAACCTAGACTATTACATTGCTAAAAATGACAAGCCCAGAAACACGAACGTTACAGTATATGTCGTTTAGGACGAGAAGGCCGAACAAAAGAGATAACCCTTTAGCGGTGACACCTGGGCAATAGCGGCGACCATTTGGAAGGAAATAACTGTGCTTTTTCTGTCACTTTAATTTGTTGGATCCAAAAAAAATGTAGGGTCAGGATTGGTCATGCGGATCGACCACAGTAGCGACGACAAGGTGTCGCAATTTGCCGTCGTCCCTATTGTTTATTTTGTGATTAAACCCTAACTGATGGATCATTCCACAATTATGCAGTCACAATCCAATTTTCTTGTGGAACGCTTGGATCGCCGGTGGAAAGACATTAGCGACAACAACTTCTGCACCATTAATGACCTTTAGTGACGACAAAAAGGCGTGTTTGCCCGATGTCGTCGCTAAAAAGGTCCAGCGACGCTAAAAGTGTCATCCATATTGGCATTATTTCTTGTTATTAGTGGAGGGTCAAAATGATATTCTAAAAGGATGAAAATATTTTCACAAAATAAAAGGATTATAAGTAACAATCTATATAAAATTGAGAGATTAAAATATAAAATGAAATGTGCATTATACACATACAATGCGCATTATAGATAGTACTTTCATCTTCACTACAATCTTCTCACATAACCTACTTTTATGGAGTAATTAGCAACATGCATTAGAAGCTTTTACCTAGTGCAATGTACCCATAAGATCCTGCAATAGAAGACATGCAATCCGAAGCACATTAATAATTATCCGTCACGAACTTAGCGAGCCCAAAATCAGCAACATGAGCTTCATAATCGGAATCCAAATGTATATTGTTTGACTTAACGTCTCGATGTAAGATCATCCTAGAGAAATCATGGTGAAGGTGATAAAGTCCCTTCGTTGATTCTACAATGATCTTATACCCCGTTTCCCACTGCAAATGTGCTCATTTCGATCCGTGTAAAATCTCACCTAAACTTCCATGAGACATGTACTCGTAAATAACCAATTTGTTTTCATGATTGGAGACGTATCCAAACAATCCGACAATGTTCCTGGTTTTCCCAACGTTTGGATCTTGGCGTCGAATCTACGGTTCCCACCGATTAACCCTTTGATGCTACGTCAACACTATTCGTCATTGATCCACTGTACACAATTCCAGCTCCACCTTTACGGATTATGTTTTCATTTTTCAAACATTCCAGAACGTCTTCAACTTTTAGATCTAAGCGTTGTTTTTATATTTGATGAATGTTATATGAATAACGATAAGGTTGTGATTACAACGATGATTACTATCATAATCTTTGATGCGGGGATTGAAGGGGGGTTGTTTTGTGATGTGGAGATGATCGGACAATGAGCGGTTTGTGGTAAACAAAGGTTAGGGTTACCGGAAAAGATGGTGTCACTGAAATCCTTTAGTTGTCCGTCGATTGGGACTCTGCCGGAGAATTGATTGTAGGAGAGGTCCAACACTGTCAAGCTCTCCATGTGACCTAATTCAGTCGGAATTTCACCTTTAAGTTGATTTCGTGATACATTAAGTATGTACAGATTGATCAAACTTAAAATTCCTCTCGGAAATTCACCAATGAAGTTGTTCCTGCTGAAATCAATGGATGTAAGTTGCACACATGTAGCAATGGAGGCCGGAATCTCACCACTAAGATTATTGTCGCTGACGTTAATTTCATAAAGCTTCTTTAGATTAAATATCTTTTCTGGAATTACACCGACGAACTTATTTGATTGGAGAGACAGAGTTGTTAGATTCGGTAAATCACCAAACGCCGGAGGTATCTTACCGGTGATCCAATTGTTAGACATTGAAACACTTTCAAGAGACTGACTGTACATTTTATTAGGAAGTTCGCCGGTAAGATTGTTGTCGTCAAGCTCGAGCATGGTAAGCTCCGGCAAGTTGAAGATGCCGGCGGGAATAGTTCCGTTGATGAAATTCTTCATGATTCGAATCTTCGTTAAAGACTTGCAGCCACCAAGTTCTTCCGGTAAGGCCCCAAAGAAGTCATTATCCATTAAAATCAGAAGTCGTAAGTTGCCTGAGATAAACGCCAAAATCACATAAGTTTCCGGATTCCATTCTTATTCTAATATCTAAATTATTATTCTTTCAATAATTAAATACGAGACTTGTACCTCCTTTGCACAAATCTTTCGGAATTGGTCCGGTGAGTTGGTTTCCGGTGACGTCGAGCATATCTAGCCGACCATTACGGCCGAGATTCTGCGGGAGTTCAAGCGTGAAATTATTCCCCCAGATCTGAAGAACTTCAAGATTCGGGAGATCACCGATGAACCGAGGAAGGGGACCGGTGAGAAGGTTGCCGAACATATTAATCAAAGTTAGATTTTTCAGTTCCGAGAACGTCTCCGGTATGCCACCGGTTAGATTATTGTTCGATACATCAAGTAAATTCAAACTAACCATTCCCGAAAGCTCCGGAGGTATTTCTCCCCTGAGATTGTTGAACTGAAGAAACAGAGTATGCAACATCTTCAAATTTCCAAGGCTTGCCGGAATTTCTCCGTTGAGATTACAACCTGCGAGATCTAGTAGTTTTAGTGATTTGAAAGAACCAAACTCTGGCGGAATCCCTCCTTCAAAACTGTTGGAATACCCGGTGAGAAGATGATCAAGAGTCGACACACGTGATAAGCTCGCCGGAATCTTCCCAGAGAGTTCATTTTGTTGCAAACCTAAAATCTGTAAACTCTGAAACTCCGAGTAATCTTCCGGAATCTCTCCGTTGAAGAAATTACCTCCGAGATACAAAATTTTAAGATTCTTCAACTTCACAAACTCCACCGGCAACCTCCCGCTGAAATTATTGTTGTAAACGTCGAAAGCCTCCAGCTCCGCCATTCCCGCCACAATCTTTCCCGGAAGCTCGCCAGTGAAAGCATTACTGGAGATGTTAAAGAATCTAATCGACGTCAAATTAGACATTTCCACCGGAACTGGACCAGTGAGGTTATCTGATACGAGCGTCAGATTGACCAGTTTGTTCAGGATCCCGATCTCCGGCGGGATAGTTCCGAACATAGGAACGTAGGATATCGTCAACGACGTTACACGAAAGTTTTCATCACATGAAACTCCCGAAAACGAACAATGTGAGTTTTCGACTTTCCAGTCGTCTAATATTTCAGAGGTATTTGATGCCACTATTAATGAAGCTTTGAGCTTCATTAAAACATCATAATCTGAAAACCCATTTGCAAATTCAAAAATAACGATGATGAAGAAGAAAAAGTGAAGAATAACAAATTTCAACATCTGTGTATTTGGGTGGAAGCACGCAGGGAAAAGTTGATGAGTGATTGTGTGATTATTATAGGCTGAGAAGTGAGAAGAGACTAGAGATGATGCATGATTTTGATAAATCCTTTGCAGCTTGTACGATGTGCATTATAAACTGTAGGTGGATTGGGTTTTGTAGTTTTAAATCTGGAAAGATAAAATTGTTGTTATGCATATGTCGTGTGGAAAAGATATGAAAAATCTTTGTATTTAATATGATTCAAAATTTTAAATGACTTTCCAGACCCTCTACTATTTAGAAATAACTTTAAAACCTTGGCAATAATTTTTGTGGATTTTGGAGCTCATGCTATAAGCATAATTGTTTAGCTAACCATAAAAATTCGACAAAACTGTAAAAATGCTTCTTATGATATTTTTTTTTTTTTTTTTTCTGGTTTTTGGTTTAAATTTTGATTTTTTTTAGTTGGTGGTCATTTTGAACTAATAGTTAATTTGTTTATAGTTTTGTCTTTCTGAAAATTGAAAATACTAAATTGACTTCTTGGTATAATTTTTTTTTTAAATTTTTTCTACTTAATTAAATATTATATTAATAAATAAGTATGTAGCCCACCTCTCTCTCTCTCCTAATTGTCTTCTTCATCCTCTTTCGTTCACCCCCCCCCCCCCCCCAAGCTCACTGGCACCACCACAACAATCTTAAAACTAGACCTTCACTCCTCTAGCTTTCCATCCCAACCCAATCTCTTACGCCTTGCTCCTGAGTGCCACTTAACAAAAGAATAGAACAGAAGTCAAAAGATTTGGAAGAAAAACAGAAAAGTTTGGTGCTTCCTAGTCTTTTTTTAGAAGAGAATAAACGAAAATGAGTTTATGCAGATATATATCGTTCCAAACTTTCCCCCCAAAATGGAAGGAATTTGAGAGAAAGTAACGCACAGAAAATAAAAAGTTGTTGTATGATGAAAATACCCTTCTGCCAATAATAAAGGATATGTTCTTCTGTTCTACTTTTGTTCTCTCTGTCTTTTCCTTCCGCCTTCTATGTGTCATCTCCTGGTACGAAAGTTCTTGTTCTTCTTGTGTTCATTCTTTTTTTTTTGTTAGGCTAGAGGGTGTGGCCGCGGTTTGTGTTGGATTAGTGTCTAAGTCCATAACTATTTTGGTATGTACTTGACCCGATGGTGCATGGTCCTTTTGGGTTGTCTTTACCAAAGCAACTTGATTGGAGAAATAAATAGAGAGAGAGCTTATTATGATTTATTAATATGTTATAAAAATAATATATTAAAGGAGAAATCATATTTGTTTAATTAATATTGGTCAATAATTAATTAGGAATTAAGTTTGTGATCAAGTGTAATTAATTAAACTAGAGGGGTTGAATTGTAATTATGTGATAGTTACAAAATAAGGTAAGGATTATCCTAAGTATAGGATGGACGAATTTAAGGTGATAATGCCTTAGAATTCGACTATGATAAGGATTCAAGGATTATCTTATGGGTTGCTTGGTAAGCAAGCAACTAGATAAGGATAATGACTGAAACCCTATCTGTACACCTATATAAACCCCCTTGGCTCATGAAATCGTGGAAGACTTTCCCAAGGCTTCTTAGGGACGAATTCAATACCTCCTCTCTTTCCTCATATCTTCTTCATTTGCTCTTGGTGTTTGTAAGCCATTAGAGGAGTGACAATTGTGACTCTAAGCCTTCCAAAGTCAATACAAGGAGATTTGGGATTGTTATTGCTACATAACAATCAAGGTAACATTATGAACCAATTCTTATGTTAATATGATCACTTGAATGCTAGAATTAGGGTTTATAGTCTTGGATAACTTGCATGCACAATAGAGAAACCTAGATCCAAACTTTAGGGTTTGTATAAGCACATAGGATGTTCTTAGGACCAAAACCCATCAGTGGTATCAGAGCCTAACTTGGTTTCAATTGTATTGATGCATTGTATAACTGAAAAATTCGACTTTTTGGTGTTTTGGAGGCTGGACTCGCCGAGTCCATAGCTGAACTCGCTGAGTCCATGCAGACTCGACGAGTCCAAGCCTGACTCGACGAGTCAATTCGTCAGAAGGAGGGAATCTCGGGTTTTCTTGCTGTTTTTGCTTATGGATAATTACCTTATCATGTTAGATCAATATTAATCCGATTATATGATATATTTGACTATAATTTTGATCTAATTGAAGATATTTATCAATTAATAAGATAATTGTTTCCTTATGTGATAATTGATTGATTATTTTGATTAAATTGATAAATTCTTTTGCAAGAAATCATTAAATAAATCAAATATAGATAATTATGTGATTAAATGTTAATTTGAATTATTTGTTATTTGATCCTTGTTGTTATGAAAAGTTTCATATTTTTCCCTTTAGGTTTTATAGTTTAAATTTGAACCCAAAAGTTTTGTTGTTTTGAAATTTAAATAGTTGAAACCCTAATGTTTTGAAAAAGGTTCAAAACTTGCCCTCAATTTTTGGAATTTAAATTTTAATTAAATAGTTTAATTTTGATGTATATTTAAATTCTAAACCCTAATGTTTTGAAATGTTTCAAAACTTGCCCCCAAGTTTTGGAATTTAAAAGGTTGATTAAAAGTTTATTAGGAATGTTAAATTCTAAAACCCTAGTAATGTTTTGAAAAAGTTCAAATCACTCCCTTATGGTTTTATTAATTAATTAAGGTGTATAATTAAAAGAGATTTAATAAATCCATAATAGTTTAGGTTTACAATTTAATTGAATTAAAAGTATAATTGTTAAATTTGACCACCTAGTATTTTAAAAGTGTAAAATGCACCCTATACTATATATAACATTAAAAGTCTAACATTATATATATATATATATATATATATATATATATATATATATATATATATATATATATATATGATGGACTCAATCGATCAACTAACTTGAATTTGTTTTCTCCCATTTTGTAGATGTCAAAGTTCGACAACTATGGTCTTCTCAAATCCCGTGGAACAAGCATTCCACATGAAGATGATATTCCATGATTCGATCGAGGAACAAGAAATCATGCTTCACTTCCTCCTCCTCCTCCTCCAATTGTTCTCCTTAACCCACAAGATCGAAGAATTGAAAGGTTCAATATCACTAAAGCCCTATTGGAAATGAAACATGAAGATGGTAAATCCGTGTGTGCCCACATTCTAGGAATGAAATCACACATTGATAGGTTGATAATGTTGGGTGTGTCATTCCCCGATGAGTTGGCTGTGAACTGGGTTCTGCAGTCACTTCCTGAATCATATAATGAGTTCAAAAGAAAGTATTATATGATGGATCATGACGATAACCTCATTGACCTAACTTACATGCTCATTGCTGCTGAATCAGAAATGATTTGGCGAAGCAATGGAGCGTATTTGTTGGGAGAATCAACCGACCATGCTTCCGAGGACGTTCTAGGAGAACCGACCTGCGTTTGCTGCCAAGAGAAAGGGCGTTGGATAGAAGTCTGCCCCAAGAGCCTGAAAATTCTAAAGATGGGAGAGTCAAAGAGTATGACTGCGCTTCAGGTAAAATCCACTATCTAACTTCGTTAAGTTCCTATTCATTGATTCAAAAAATACATGATATGATAAGATCGCATTTGAATGTTTTTGTAGGATCGGTGAAAAGAAAGGAAGCTTGGTGAAAGAGCAAGATGAATCGAATCACAAGAAATGGATCTTGATCGCATGGACTTGAAGATTAGATTTTGAGCTTAGATAGTTATGATAGAGTTGTTAGAAATTTTCTTTTTGAAATACATAGTTTTCAATGGATTTTGCATTGTAAGGACAAATATTTTCCGCTGCTTTTATAAATAAAATAAATTTTGTTTGACTTATTTATTTATTTGTTTATTTCCTTGCAATGAAATCGTTATGAAAATTGGTGTTTGCATATTTCTACAACAAACGGATATGATTCTTATTTATGGTGTTTATGGAAAAGTCGAGAATTTATCAAATAGGGAGAGTTTCTCATCGCCCAAGTTTCAATTGGACAGAAATTTGGAATCACGCAACTTGGTTGCATGATGAATGAGAAATTTCATATTTGAAAATTAGACTAATTCGTTGACAAAGTGTCAAGTGAAGGACTAGGAGATCAAGCACACAAAGTTGCGTGTTGATCAAGGTCACCATAAGAGTAACAAAGATATTCGTCATGATTTACTAAAGGTTTAGTAAATATGATTATACTTACAAGATTAAGTATAATTCGGAATTGATTAAAAAGGTTTAAATCAATAGCAAAACGAATAAGAATCAAGTAGGTAGAAAGATAAAAGTTTCTCCATTCTAAGAAGAAGGGATAGTACATTTTATGCTTTATGATAGGTCTTAATGATTAAGAACATATCTCAATTGATCCTCTAAGTGAGTCTTACTACAATTGTATGTCTAAGAAGAGGAATCAAGAATTGAATAAATGGTTAAATCAAAAAGTCAATCATACTTCGTTCAAATAACAAGTCTTAAAGTTAAGATTGTGACAACGAGTGAAAAGTATTAAGAAGGTTTATAACATTCATCAAATGTGGAAAGTTGTGATGTCTTGGATAAGACAAAGGCTAACTAGGACCAATTTATGAAGTGTTTTGATAAAAACTACACTAACTCTTGAATATTTGTTTGTCAAGAATTGTTTATTGACAAGAGAATCTTATATGTCAATGAGTCAGTGGGAGTCTTAATGGTCTTGAAAAGTTTCAAGAACAAATCAAATAAACCTTATCGATCATCACTAGCACACGAGTTGAGGTTTACAACCTATCGTGTTGACAATATTTTGATTCTGTGCTGGTCTAATTGAGTTAATTATGCATGTGAGTCCTATGAGTTCTCATTTTGAACGCATAAAAGGCAAAGCACCTTAATCAATGGAAAGGTACATTGATAGGAAAAGGTGAGCTGCTTAACTACTTGGAAGACGTGGTGGGAAGCTGTGCTACCATAAGGCAAGAAATCAAGATTAAGAAAGTTCGGTCCATATGAGTTTGAATTTGTTGTAAACTCTGGTTTTAACAAATTCACATGGATAGGAACAAATACACCGCTTTAAATCTAAGTGTCATAAGATTTCCTCCTTCATGAAAATGAGTGTGAGGAAATGCTTTCACTAAAAAAGATTTTAAGAAGATAGTGATTGTAAAATTGCATTTTCGAATTTGATTATGGTTACGGTATCCCTTTCCATAATTTGAAT